ATTTAATTTATTAATTTTATTTTATTTTATTTTATTTTATGCGGGCTTAACTAAAAAAATAGCAATAAATAAAAAATAAAAAATTGTTGAACGCTTTGTGAGAAAGTCAGTGAATGAATCTAATATGCTATATATGTTTGTTTTTTTTAAAGGTTGCAATAATTGCTGGAAATTTTGAGCTTGCAGAATTCATAAAGAATCACAAAGACGCTGATATTGGTAAGTTGGATAAACTCACCTTCTTTGATGTTTGTAAGAACAACCTTATAACATAATATTTTATGAATTCCAGAAATGTACATAGATGTACATACAATGTAAAAAGGGACGAGTAATAAAATAAATCTTGTTCATATAATCTGAGATTCTGAGTTTCTGTCATAGCCAGTCACATTTGTAATTAGCAACAGAATATTTAGTTGCTGGGTTGCCCCGCCCACAGTGACATTTTATTGGTCCAAAATTGTTTTATCTGCTGCACATAAGAATTAACACAAGGTTGCAGTGCAATGTAAATTTGCAGGATATAAATGGTTAAATATATGCAGGAAAGCCAAATCCAGTCACTATTCAGTACACAAATAGATATTAAAAAGGATGCAAATTGGAATTTTGTATGCACACATTACAGTGATTTACTATTGGGTGTTTTGAGTGCTAAACTATAAATGGAACAAAAATAGACTCTAGACAACTGTAATTATCTACAGAACAACATTTGAATCAAGTCATTGTATGGTTCATGCTGAATTAATTGTTGGGGAATTATTTTACATTTACATTTACATTTAGTCATTTAGCAGATGCTTTTATCCAAAGCGACTTACAATTGGGGGATACATAAAGCGATTCTTCTTAAAGAGGCAAACAGACATAGGAAGTGGTTGTAATACCAAGTTCTTAGACATTGTTCAAATAAGTACAAGCTAGAAAGAGAAGGAATAAATAAAGAGAGAGAATTTTTTTTTTTGTTTGTTTTTTTATGATGAAGGCAAGTAGCTTCGAAAGAGATGGGTTTTCAGCTGTCGCTTGAAAATTGTCAGGGATTCAGCATTCCGGATAGGGGTGGGAAGATCGTTCCACCAGCCAGGAGTGGTGAACGAGAATGTTCTGGAAAGTGATTTTGAGCCTCTCTGTGATGGTACCACGAGGCGTCGCTCACTAGCGGATCTCAGACTTCTGAAGGGGATTTTGGAGGAGTATCAATATTGCCTTGTTCTGACTGGCTGTGATTTGCTAGAAACTTGTCGCATTGCGTCCCGCCTGGTTAGGCCACAATGTTATGAACACCTCTGAAGTCTTGATTATACTGAAAATAAGCAATACCAAATAATTTAAAATGCTTTTCCTCTGCATAATTCCTGCGAGAGTATCATATTTATTAAGGTGTATGATATGATCCAATTATCAGGCAGGGAGCTGATGCTGCAGGTGCAAAAGTTGTACTATGTGCTAAAGGCTAACATAAGCTAAAATGGGCTTCCTCTATTGTTGCTAGTGACACAACAGACGTCACCTCCAGCGGTTCCCATAATTATGCAGTGTTATAATGCTGGGCCTCAGCAATTTGTGCCTCTATAGGGCTCCCGAAGTGGCTCACTTTAACTTATAATTGTGCATTTGAACCTTAAGTGAATATACAAGGTCTGTTTGCTGTTTTGGGGGTCATTTTTCAGTTATTTTGCATATGAGCAAATCTAGTTTTCATATATCATGCATGTATTATATATATATATATATATATATATATATATATATATATATTCCTGTGAAGTTGTGTCTGGCCTTGCTTTGTGACAGTGTGCATGTATATGTATATATTCTTATATATCTTCCTGTGAGGTCTTACTGTATCTTATGCGTATTCGGCAAAATATTTTGGCCATAAACAGATGACAAATGATTTTTTTTTACATTGCTCGGCACTCTCTACTCCCACAGCTCTAACACGTGTAGCAGATGTCAGTATTAATTTACCAAAAGTAAAATGCATCCGTATATTTCTGACACTCTCAGCCACACAGTGATTGAATGCGCTCATTTCAATTAACGGACCGCATAATCATCTGCCTCATTAAAGCTAGGAAAGGCACAACAGATTTAATTAATCATTAGACATCATTAAACGAAAGGATTTGGATGAAATGAAGTCTGTTCTGGGTAAATAAGACTTTGAAGAACTTCACAAGCCATGGATGTGTCCGTATATAATGTAGAGTGGAGATAACATGACATAAATAACTTATTTACATATTAATTATTCATTTTGCATGTACATTTTCACTGCGTTCCGCATATAACGTGATTGATGTGCATTATGCGTTTATAAATGATGATATAAGTGATATTTGTTTGCCCCTGAAGGCTATGTGCACAGGCGTTGCTGATTGTCGTTGCACCCTATAGATGATTTCATGCGTCGAACCCAAGCATGCATCTAGAGAGAGCTTTACTCAGTGGAGCTGACCTACATAAGCTACAGACCTTACAGGAAGAGGAGACTCATCCATATACACGCACACACTTGCACACCAGCAGAATTCATACTATTTCCTGTACTGAATTTAGGCCATTATCAAGTCCTAGGTTTTTTTTCTGATCAGAATTGTCACGTTCAAGTTTCTTGTCACATTTGTCCTGGTTTTTCTGACCTGCAATGCTAATCTTCGTCTCACCGACGTGCCGTATACTGGTTAACCTGCTTATTGGATGACATTGAGTGACTTTGATTGCTTTGTCAGTTCATTTTCCCTCTATATTAATGTAAAATTGAAATGTGGGATAAGGTTTCCAGGACTATGCGCTTTAAAATAAAGGTTCTTTATTGGCATCAGTGATTCCATGAAGAACCTTTAACATCCATGGAATCTTTCTATTGCACGATATGTTCTTTATAGTGGAAAAAGTTCTCAGGGTTTCTGCAGGTCTTAAAAAAGGTCTTTACAATTCTTTTTTTTTCCCACAAATTAAGGCCTTAAAAGGTCTTAAATCGGAGCAGAATTCATAAAGTAATTTTAGTTTTTCAATTCAAATATCTAAACAGCCTTAAATCAAGATACATTTACTTGAGATGCAAGCTGAACATATGAAGTCTTGTTTTCTGAGAAATGGAATTAAAGTGAAAAATAAATATACTTAAAGGTGCTGTATGTAAGTTTTTGACTCTACTAAAGCATAAAAATACCATAATATGTTTGCAGATATTTAAGAAACATGCTAAGAACATAATTGTTTATCTGAAAAACAATGCTACAGTCAGTTATTCTCCTTTGAAAATGTGCGTTCCGAGCCGGAATGTTGGTCTCTGTTTTGGTTTGTGAAACCCGCCCACTGCCAGTTTACCCAATTGTATTTCATAACCCCGGGTTGCCAGTTGGCAGAAAAAACTGCTTATTTCATTTCATTCATCGTCAAGTGCGCTCGTTCCTGTTGGTGTCGTCAATCTGGCAACCTGCGTGTGCATCAAGTCTGAGGAGGAGGGGCCGGGTGAAAAAAACCCTCTCCAATATTTTGAATTTGGACTGCAATACCTAGTTCAACCACTCGGTGTCAATCCTACATACAGCACCTTTAAATGTAATTGTTTGTATACTACAGATGCATTTACATATTTATGCACTTAATAAAAATACTCTGCAATTGTACTTTTAGTATACTAAACTGGTATACTTAAAGTCTGCTAAATTGGAACAACTAATTTTGTACCTAATGCACTTTAATTGTGCAGAAGCAGTGCTGAAGTCCAACTAAAGATATACTGAGGTATATGATTGTGCTGAATTGGAACTATTGCAAGTATACTTTAGGCACACTTTAAATATCTTACATTTAAAGACTTAAATTATAAAAAAATCATACAATTCTCATCAATAGTGGCATTAAAGCACAGTTTAGGCTTAATATTAATAAATGTGCATTGTGCACAAGTAGTACTCCAAATAAATTTAATTATAATTTTTAAAATCAGTAAGTCTCAAGCGATATGTCATGTAAATAATGTAAATATGTTAATAGATTTGAACATAGTATGAAAAAATGTATTTTAACTGTAGGGTATGCTTAAAACAAGAACAAATTTCTGTCAGTGGGGTGCTAACTTGTTTTCTCTTTGAATTAAGGTGATTTTTCTGAGCCCACTGGCAGATTTTTGTTCTTGTTTTATCCACAAACTCACTTAATTTTGATCAGCATCTCATAAAACAAGACTTATGACATTTTGCTTCTCAAGTAATTGGTTGATTTAAAAATCTATGAACATCTGCACTGGAAAAAAAGACAAAAATACAGAGGACGAACACTTTTTTGCAGCGTGATCAGGAGGTATAGTAAACGTTATTTCCTATTATTTTGTAAAATGAATTAAAAAGGAATGGGGATCTGTTGGAAGTTGTATTTTCAAACTTTTAAGTGTTCCATTCAATTTATTCCTTTCTTTTCTTTACTTGGTCATAAAAACTTACATTTACTTTAATAAAACCTGCAGGAACCCTGATTCTTCAGATTATTAAAATGTACTTGACACTAAAAAAAAGTTCTGTTCCAAGGTTCTTTGGGGAGCCTCAAATGCATCTTAAGTGGCATTTCTGCAAAAACCTCATTTTGGAACCTTTATTTTTAAGAGTGTAGCTGGAGAATAGAGCTGACCTGAAGTGTGGATGTAAGACCTAGCATTACGCATCTTTTTTGCTACAGCTGTCAGGTTTTCCTTATACCTCTGGGTAACAGCTCTGACATAAACACAGAGATTCCATCAGCGGAATATGGGAATCAGCAGGCTTCCGGATGTTTCAATCTCAGGGAAAGGAACCTTTGACGGAACGAACCGGTTGGCCAGCTGTGCGCCGATATTGTTTTCATAAGGTTTTGATTGAACAATCTTCAATAGTTGCACAGTTTGCCATTGCGTCTAAAGCGTCATTCAGGGAGGAAACAGGAACGGCTTGTTATTTTCATGCGCATAGTAGCAGGGGATCTGGTAATTACGTGTCACATGTTAGACCACAGCGGAGGGCACAGTGTCGGAGCTTTGATCTTCACAAAATCCAACCGTTTGCGTTTTTAAACTCCATCGAAATCCATCAGGTTTTGTTTGTTTATGTGCTGTGGCCTCCATGCCTATATGTTTAAAACAAGCACTGTAGTTATGCATGTAAATGGACGTCCCATTTAATGCCACCCGGAGGTTGCCATGGTTCCCGGATCCACACAATAATTGGCTT